GAAGAGGCACCCTGGGAAAGCCACATCTGCTGCTCCACTGAAGCCCAGAGAGAAGTGGGGAAACTATTCTCCAAAAACCCGCAATGTCACGTGCAGGTTGGGGTGATGAATGGGAAAACGAGAGATACACAATGAGTTCTCCAAGGTTGCAGTCATGGTTTCTCCCCAGCTATCTCCAACCTCACAAACAGGACTGATGGAGCAGATGCCCACGTGTGGTCCACATCCACCAAGGCAGGTTGCACAAACACGAATGGAGGGTTCATGTGCACCATTCCCCCCAACATACAACCCACAGGGGAGTTTGTACCTGCCTTCCATGGGCAAGAAGACATGGCACAAGGTACAGGCACCTCAGCCATGGGCCCATCTAGTGCTGCCCACCCACCAGTACAGCTCCTTTCAAACCACAGTGCAACGCAACAACTGGGAGCAAGCAAACCTCACAACTCATGCCCGCAAGATGGCACACGCAGGTTACCCCAACAAAAACACAGCCCATGACAAGCTCCCAAACACCGTGCTAACAATCCTGGCAACATGGCAGAGGTGGAACAAGACACAGTCACTCAATCCTCCCGCAAGGGTACCACTGTATGTGCTCCAACAGCCTGTACCCTCTAGTGAATAATTTGTGGGTATCACTTAGCCTTCTCCAGCACACCTCTTCCAGCCTCACTCCAAAAGCATAAGGCTGGAATCCAAGAGAAATGTGGAGTTGAGAGGATAGAGATCTGTGCCCAGGATTGGCAACATCCCCTCCAAGCAAGGTGCTCAGCTGCTACCAAAAAGAAACCCAACTCTCCCTTCGAGCACACCTTTCTCAACAACTCGCATCCTCCAAACTCTCCCGTGTGGCTTTTCTTGTTCACTTGGGCCCTCTTGGTCAATGGGAACAGCAGGGACACAGATGGAGACAAACTGTCCCAAGAAACGTGCCCAACGGTAAGGTCAACAAGAGAGGCCTTACCTGAAAGCCCCCCAGGGGCTAGACAATTAGTTCCCCCTGTTTCAGTGGAGGAAGGCACAGAGTCTGGACAATCTGCTGGGGCAGAGGGAAAGAACAAGAATTAAGTACATATATTCGTTCCGTAGCATGCTGTAAACAACGCTGAGAGCAGAACACGCATTCCAAAGAGCTGAACAGGAAGCAATTACTAATTGTCTGCACAGACACGGTAGTTCATCAAGATGCATCCACCCTAACTCATCGCCTCCACCAAGGCTCTACACTGCACCTCATCACCAGCCAACGATGATTATAGACTGGCAAAGATTACAGACTGGCTCCCATCTTTCCGTCCAAGTCAAAGGCTCATGAAATGCAACCCGTCATCCTTATGACATAACTCACTAAGCTCCCCAGAAGCCTAAATCACTGCCTTCTCCATTGAGTTTAGCCAACACTGGCACTCACTAAAGTGCAAACTGAAATGGAAATGGCTAATTGCTACAAAGGGTCTAATGTTAAGGGTCCTTTTGCTGCAAAAGGTCTAATGTTAAGAGTGCTCCCCTCATCAACTTTGCCATCACTGGTTCCCTGCAGATCTCAAATGCCACCGAGCACCTCCTGTGAGCACAGCATGCACCTACAAGGCCTGCTGCCTTTCAGCTTCAATTGCCTCAGCGCATCGAGCGGGCACGGGTTCCACCACTCGGGAACCCGGACCAAATGAGCACACACACCACTATGGTGGATGCAGCACTTGGCACTTATTACAGACGCATCCAAACTTATGTAGGGCTCCTGTGACATCCAAACTTATATAGGGCACCTGTGTGTGGAGGCACGCCCCGTAGCCCATAGCGTTAACATCGCCTCCCATATTGGTTGGCCTCAGAAAAATCCTTTATGCATCAAGCAATCAGACCACTGTTTTCATCCCTGGCCACACCAACCTTTCTTCCTACATATTCCCTTTTTTGTTCTCTAATAAGAGAATCTCCTCTATTCTGTTGCTTCCTTTAGTTTTTCTGAAATATTATACGGGCACGTGCCCATCTCCCCTATTCTTTCCGCTATTCTTTCCGCTCAACGCGAGATCTTCCGACTGCCGTACCCTACAGAGGCCTGACCAGCCAACATCTATTCCTCCACACATGACAAAGTATAGGAAAAGGTAAGATTGGATGGTTTGGGTCACTAATCCAGAAGACCCAAGCTCAAGGAAACACCACAGCTCAACAGGACTGACGTCA